TTCTTTCATCTGCCACAAGCTGTAAGAAGCTACAAGATTCTCTTAGAATCCCTAGGAATCTCCTCTACATGACTTTCTTTCATCTGTAGGAAACGGTAACAATCTATACCTCTAGGAATCTCTAACCACACCATCTTTCATCCGCGGGACATTAATAGGAAGCTGAACACTATAACAGTGTCTCTAATGGAAAAGCAGCCATTGACTCCAAGAGTTCCTTTCACCCATCAGATTCCACAAGAATCTAGAAGAAACCTTCGTACCTAGGAGTGTCTGTACCCTACAAGAGCCCAGAACAGACTGTAACACTATAACCTTTAAGAATTTCTCCAACATGTAAGAGTTTCTATGGATCTATCACAACTACTTCAGCCTACAGAAATACCGCCTAGGAGTGTCTGTACCCTACAAGAACCTGGAACAGACTAACACTCTATAACCTTTAAGAGTTTCTCCAACCAGTAAGAATCTGTATGGATCTGTCACAATTACTTCAGCCTACAGAAATCCCCCCTTTAAGAATTTCTCCAACATGTAAGAGTTTCTATGGATCTATCACAACTACTTCAGCCTACAGAAATACCGAAGAATCCCTCAGAGTCACTGTCCCCTTTACAAATGCATAAGAGCCTGTAAGAGTCCATGATCAATAGGATCTCTAACTTGCCATATTTAAAAAAAAATACTGTATAACGATACATAAACTTTAAGAGCCTCCTTATGTTACAAGAATCCATAACAATCTATAGGAATCTCGAAGAATGTAGGACATTAAAGGAATCCATAACAGTCTGAGTCCCGTGAATCTCAAAGATTCTGAAAGAATTTCTCAAAATCTACAGTCTATGACAGGTCCTTTAATCTGCAGGACTCCCCAAGAATCTCCAAGAGTATCTTATGAGAGTTCCTTTACTCTCAAAGACATCTTTCAGAGAATCTCTAAAAATTCATAAACTGTCTAAACCAAAGAGGAGCTTTACAAGCATCTCCAGGAATCTCTCGGAGTCTCCCAGAGTTTCTTTAACCTACAGAAATCCGTAAGCATCACGTTACCCTGTCAGAACATGTAACATTCTATAATCCATGAGTTCCTATAGTACATCGCAATAGGACAATTTAAAAGAGGCACCAAAGGTGAAACCCTCTCTTACCAACATCTCCGGACCGTTTGGTTGGACTACAACCTTTGGTACGGTTAAGGGGCTACATTTTCGGGGACCCCTTCTACAGCAGGCAACGCCATGAAGGCTCCGGGGTGACCCTGCCTAGAGTGCTCCGATCTGCAGCTATTGTTCGCCGCTTCCACCCGCTCCTGTTCGCTACGATACGTGGCCGTAGTTTGCTACGGCTTTGCCTTCTCCTGTGTTATGAGCCACCCAAAACAACACAACGCCTCCCTGGAGGTGGTACTTTAGCTGCTTGCGCACCATGGGGATTTCCCTCGCTCCCTCTTTCACCAGCTGCTCGATTCAGAGGTGCCTGTGCAGTTGCCCCTCACTCCGAAAGCCACGGGAACCTTTACTAATGGAAGGTTGCTCCACGGATCACAGGTCACAGTTTCTCCCTTGCCCTAGACGACATCCACAGAATTCACTTTCCCACTGTACCTTCCAGTATTTTGGATCGATGGCAGCGTTGGAGGCTTCACCGTTTAGTCACGACGCTTCCTCAAGGGTGACCTGCGCCACATCCCATCAAAGCCTCGGGCTTTACTGCTTGTCCTAAAGACACGACGTTGGCCATGCAACTTTGAGGCCATTGTCTCAGATTTTGGCTAGAGCACGACGCCTCGGCCTCGTCTACCTGACTACCCAGATGCGCTACTTTTGAACGTTAGGTGGTGTGACTGCACCCTCAAACCGAGCCGCAAACAAAGACCTAAATGCAAAAGGATTAAAACAGATGGCTGTTCCAAAACCTTCATCCTTTTGGATCATCCAAGAGAAATACAAACTCCAGGTCTGAAGTTCACCGTCTTCAGACGTTGCACAGAGGGAAAGTTCTGCCAAGGGACATCCAGCCTTTCGCATCACATCACATCAATACGTACCCCGTGAGACTGGGCCACTCCGAAGCTTCATCGGTCCAGCCCAACAGGGAAGCCGTACTCTGCTGTTGTGGTTACTACGCGCCACCCCGCCGCTTCCCCCCTCCTGCTGTGGGCTGGGGGAGAGAACTGGAGGAAAAGGTAAGAAAACTCATGGGTTGAGATACAAAGAGTTTAATAATTGCAACACAATGAAACAAACTCACAACACTATGAATATTAACAGTACTAAATAACATGTAATGAGAGTACTACTACTGCTATATAATCCAAGTAACATAAAAAACCCCAAATGACACAATCTCTCACCACCCACCACCAGATACATAGTCAGTCCCTGAGCAGTGAGATCCAGACCTGACCCCTCGGTCAACTCCCCCCAACTTCCATAGTGAGCATGATGCCTTCTGGCATGGAACATCCCTTGAGTCAGCCATCCTGGCTGTGTCCCCTCCCAGCCTCTCGCAGAGGAGCAGCTGGGGACAACGGGAGGAGGTCCTTGGCTAAATGTAAGCATTGCTTGGCAGCAGCTAAAACATCTGTGTGTCATCAACGTTCTTGTCGGTGCAAATCCAAAAGAGCTTCACGCTAGCTACTGCGCAGAGATTTAACTCGATCCCAACAAAAGCCATCACACCTACCTTTTAGGATCTCACCAGAGAGGGTGGGGAGGCACTGGGACAGGTTGCCCATAGAAGCTGTGGATGCCCCATCCCTGGAAGTGTCCAAGGCCAGGCTGGATGAGGCTTGGAGCAACCTGGTCTAGTGGAAGGTGTCCCTGCCCATGGCAGGGGGGTTGGAACTAGATGACCTTTAAGGTCCTTTCCAACCCAAACCGTTCTATGATTCTATGATTTTTTCCCTTTGCATCTCATGCTTCAGTGTAACAACCATCTTGCTCACAAAGAGGTTTTTTAAATGCACGTCGCCGTTGACACCTTACTCCATTTTTCAGCAATCCTTATTCCATTTTTCGCACCCTGACCTGCTTCAAAGCTTTCACATGACCAATGGCCAGTTTAAAACTCAGCTTGGAACAACCTAGGGAAAAGATTTGAAAGCGGCCAGCGTTTGAAAGGCGCAGCTACGCATCGCAGCTACTCTGCCCATTTATTTGGCTAAAACGTGCCTCTCTGACAGGTTCTCTCTGCTGCCAAAACTCGGCTACGGGCTGGGTCTGTTTTTTCACCTTTGCTAACGTTAGCTAACGCCTGTACAAGCTTCTGGCGGCTCACGTAACATCCAGCCACCAGATTCCTTCGCATGACTCGCCCTAACGGCATTGCTGTAGAGCCACAGGCATCCGTAGAGCCTGACCGTTTACCACTCCTGACCACACACCGACCCCTAAAACCTCACAGGCCGAAAGGGGAGGCCCCTGCCAGACCCAAACCCTTACCACTCCTGGGATTTTTACGTTTTGGTATTTATTTCTACCTCTCTCTCGTTGGGTGTTACCTTTGGGCGCTCTGCTCGGCCTAGTTGGGCTCTACAAATAAAATAATTACTACATCAGTCATCAATCCGCCTCTTTTTCCATTTGTTGTTCCTTTTACTGATTTCATGTTCTACAATTGCCTTTATTAATCAGTCTAAAGAGGGAAACGAGTCCCAGGTCCAAAAAGGGACACAAGTCACGCGCTCTCGGATCACAGTGGCCACCTTAGCTCCTTCGCCTCAGGGCAAGGCTTGCTCCTTTCTCCTGGGAACTTGAGAGACATATTCTGGGAACAAAGACCCGGCCTTTCCTGAGATTCCAGGACCGTGCCATAGCCCAACCTCTGGTGATGGTGAAACCGCCTCAGGCCGGCCTTTGCCTGTGGCCTTTCAGAATGTCCGGGGTGGCTGGCCTTTCAGTACTCCTTCACCCTCTACCTCAGCCTCGAAAGGATGGCCTGGATGTTCTACCACCGCTGCTACGGGAGAACACTTACAGAAAACCAACAAAAGCCTCCAAACTCACAGTAGTGTCACCTGAAACGAGGGCTCTCCATCATGTAGAAGCATTACGTTCTGCTCAGGGGCATCACTGATCTCACGGCCGGTCAGCAGACGGGCGAGGGACCTGGGCTCACACCAGACGGTGCTTGATGCCCATGCCCCATGGACATTCTCCACCTTCCCGGCATCGCTTGTTCAGGCAAGGTCTCTGGGTAGACAGACCTTAACAGGCTCTCCGTGTTGCCTGCAAACCCGTGCTGTCAGCACACATCTACATTCCAGGTCCCGGCACGTCACGACCTGTCTGTGGCCGAATGCCTTCAGC